ATTGATGCTATCAATATCTGACGCGCTCGAGTATGTCCATGCAACAGTATTTTTTATATATTTAAAAATCTATAGCCGCTTCCTCCACCGATGAAAAGGTATATATTATATAACATTTTTTTCTTCTTGTCATTTAAGCTTTGCAACCTAATATGTCTCTATGACGCTCGAGTAAATCCCCATTTTGCATCGTGGGCTCCCCTACTATAAGATCCCTGGACTTTCTACTGATACTTTCGTATCAATAATAGTTGAGCCAAAGTACCTGACCACTTACGTCATCTATCTATATTTCATACGAACACTGAACTCAATGATCCCCAATTTTTCATGTAGGCATTGAATTGAATTATTTCCAGGTTGAGTTTCATGGAGCATGAGTTCAAAAGCGAGTACCAAGAACTCCGGAAGCAGTGTCAGGACTTTGCTACGGCTCTTCTAGACCATACTCGTAGCTCATACGAATTGGAGGTTCTCTTGAACCACGATCCGAGTGGACCAGCTTTCGAACACGGAGATCGAATGCACCTAAATAGACTGAAACTTGCTATAAAATTACGACAAAAAAAAGTGAGTATGGTATCATTTTTCAAATTGGTTGGTAAGCCGTAGGTACATGCTTCAGTACACTCATATACCCCTAATACAGATGAATGTACAAATGAAGAAGTAGCAAAATCATATTTTGTAGTTTGAATCAATAATAAATTGATGGATGTAGCCGTTACTACGTGGTAGGAGATCATGATTAAAAGAGAAATGAAAATTTCTATGTTTTTTACCACTTTTATTTGTAACTAACCTTGTGCAGTTTCGTCCTATATAGACGATAAATAAACAATGAACAATAAACTAACAATGATTCATTTCATTCGCTAATATATACCATTCAGGTACTTGATTGAGTACCTGTATTTACAGTTCACAATGCGCATGTGCCAATTTAAAAACCGGAGAGTAAATTAAATCGATTTGGTCATTTAACAGGTTGCACCCACAATGTTTATGCTTGTGAATTTCCAAAGATTCTGAATAATTGAGATTGCAACCCTTCCTTGCATAGTGCAGAATTTCCGTATCGCTTAGATTCGGAAACTTGTGGTTGCATGCCAAGGAATGATTTGAAAACTTCGAATCATTTTTGTCGACCTTATCTAGGATCGCAGGTTTCTTCAAAAAAACAATGTGGAAGTAGCATTCAGACTGCATGGCAGGTTATCTCATTTCCTTTTCAATGCCAAAGATGAGGTCGACAAGTTGGAGAAATCTGGAGTTTATAAGCTTAAGTGTCCGGAGTGTAATAGTGTTTATGTGGGACAATGCGAACGAAATTTCCAAAAACGGTATGCTGAACATGAAAGGTCCTTCAGACTAGGAAAAAATGATTCGACGTTTTCAAATCATTCCTTGGCATGCAACCACAAGTTTCCGAATCTAAGCGATACGGAAATTCTGCACTATGCAAGGAAGGGTTGCAAACTCAATTATTTAGAATCCTTGGAAATTCACAAGCATAAACATTGCGGGTGCAACCTGTTAAATGATCAAATCAATTTAATTTACTCTCCGGTTTTTAAATTGGCACATCCGCATTGTGAACTG